AAATGTCATAAATAGTTAGAGAGAGGAAAAGATATAATTCAAAAACAAGAAAGATATCAATAAGAATTTACAACTAACAAGAAGTCAGAATAATGAAATGAAAATTATAAAGAAATCAGATAGAAATCATAAACCAGAGAAAGAGAAAAGATTATATGAAGCCAAGTAAGGAAGTTTCAAGGAAGTTGAAGGCAGTGAATAATCTAGTAACATTTAAGTTGCCAGAAAAGAAGAATGAAAGTAGTCTAGACAACATCAGAATAACGTGGCCTCAATGAAGTCAAAATTACAGAAACAAGAAATAATCCAAAAACGTAAAAACATACTAATAGAAAAATTCCGGATGAAGAATATATACCAGAAGATATGTTAAGATATGTTATATAAAAAAAAAGAAAGATCCCAGAATCACGAAAAAAGTTGCCAAAAATGAATTAAATTAACTAAATGCTGGAAAAGCTCAAAAAACCAGAAAAACCAACAGAGTAAAAGGAAAAAACAAGGCAGAATCTGGAAGGTGCTAGATTATCCAAAAAGAAGAGAACAAAATTTGGGAATAAAGAGACAGAAAGAGTTTGAATAAAGACAGGGAAAAAGTTAGTAATATTGAAAACGACAGGTAAAAAGTTAGTAATATTGCAAAAGCCAGAAAGAATTGCAAAGAAAAGGTCGAATTTGTATTAATGCTCCTCCAGATTTCAGGAAGAAATAAGTATCCAAACTTTACAACGAAGTGTGAAATTACTTTGATATAATTATTCATACTACATAAGTTACAAGTGCTAGATTAAAGAAGTGAAAGAAGGAATGGAGTCGGGGAAGTTAAAGACAGTGAAAAATACAATAATATTTAAAAAAATGCCAGAAAAGAAGTAAGAAAGTAGTCTGAACAAAATAAGAAAATAAGTAGAAAGGAGTCAGACTCAACAAAGTCAGAAAGAAAAAATGGTATAAGAATGTAAAAACGTACTAAGAACGAAAGGAAATCACTTAAATAGAATGAAATTCGAACGATTACAGAAGAAATAACGCTGGAAATATGCCAGAAAAAGTTATATAGAGGAAAAGGAATGCAAAAAAATATCAAGAATGGCCAATTATCAAGCAGAAAAGAGTCAAAAACTAAATTAACTAAGACACTGAATAGACCAAGCAAACTCAAAAACCAGCAAAACAAAGCGAGAAGAAAGAAAACAGTAAGAATCTAGAATATGCTAGAGTTGCGAGAAAGAACAAAACAAAATTGAGAATAAACAGAAAGAAGAAGTTTGTATAAAGACAAGTGAAAAAAACAGAAATATTGACGGAGACAGGAAGAATTGCAAGAGAAAGTTGAAAAAAGCATTGGTCAGACTCCAGATTTCAGCAAGCATAAGGAATTATATTGTCCTATACATTCTAGAGCGAAGTGTGAAATAACACTACATAAATTTTAGATATAAGAATAGATCTGAAATCACATTAAAAAGATTACAGGTTCTAGATTCAGAGAAGTCTGTGAGTTCTCTGCTAAGATTCTACATTTGAAGAAAAAGTTAATTCTATTGTACTATTCAGATTCCAGGCTGCAAGAAAATAGAAAATTTTGAGAATTAACCAGGCCAGAATCTGAACTATACAAATAAGTTTTGGAATTCCATTGAGATATTAATTTTCAAGTTATAGGAAGGAAACTGAAGTTAACTCCGCCATGGCAGCTATCGTGCTGTCCCAAGCCCGAATACCTAGAGCAAATTTTTCTTTTATCTTAACCATATTAGACAAGATTGATACTCAATTTAGAATTTGAGATTTCTAACTTCTATTCTGCTATTCTAAATGGATACAAACACGAATAGAGAACTGATCAATATGTACACAAAATACCCAGCTTTGGCAATCTTTTCAAATAATCTGCATTGGCCAGACAAGTAGATAGTCTGCATAAGCACTTAAAATTTTCTGAGTGTTGTGATATAACGATCAATGATTCCACTTTTATGATCTTTTCCCAAAATTCTGTCAGAAGTGTATTTTAACTTTACATTTCTGATCTGATCTATAATGTTATTCAATATGGTGGTGTGACTTTATGACATCACTAAGTTAATCGTTAAATGCACAATATTCTTTTCTTTCCACAACTACCGCATTATAGAAAGAGTGCCAAAATGGCTATATACCAGCAATCAAGCCTTATTGCATCATAACCTAAATGAGTGCGGTTCTACTTCTATTTTCTTTATTTAGGGATAAAGAAATCGTTATTAAATTATCGTCTTTACTATACATAAATGGATACATACAATTTGCAATTTGATTCGGTTACGGTTATTACTGCGGTCTTTCGATATTTTCCGACCTTATAGGGTGCAAGTTAAATCAGTGGCACTTTTGCCTTTTCTGCTCTTGCACCCATTGAGCTTGAATTGTGAATAATTGTATATTTCTTGATTTATTCTTATTTTGTTGTCTATTCGGCTCAATGGAGTATTATTATTAGTATTATTATTCAATCGAAGTGGAATAATCTATTTTTATCAAACGTCGATTTAATAGATAAATAATGTATAAGAGATGATTAATAATTAAAACACTTTATTATGTTGCATTTTGACACATTACAACTTCATTAGTCTTAATCTTGTGTTTCTAATGTTAACTATTAGAAATTTAATATTACAACTTTTACTCAACGCAACTTTATCATTTTAATTTTGAAGATTAAGCAAGATCGCACCAAATTACAAGACATTATGTTTATTAATCCTAAGAGTGTAGGTGTTAAATCATCTCGATAAGCAAGATGGAGATACCAGGAAGATAATGAGTACTCTTAACTTCGCGTGCTAATCACGTGATTTATATGCTGATAGCGTAATGCTTGTAAAATAGAATGAAAATGATAAAATGTAATATACTTTGGCTTAGAAAAACTAAGCACTAAGAGACCTCTTCCTCGGCTAACGATGAAAAATTGATAATTCATACATAGAAAGTGTAGACAGCCACGAAGATTTATTGGAAAGGTTGCAATTAAAACCAAGTGAAAATGCCACTTTAGGGATGATTTATTTATTCATAAATGCTTTATAAAACAAAAAGAGTGAGCTGGTTTTGAAGCCAGTAAACTATTCTCTATTCTTTCATGATTTCAACAAAAAATAATTGATTTGATATTAATGTTATTGCCATAAAGTGGAAATTATCAGATATGATGAGATATTATGTATTCAAAAAACCCGTTTGGGATTATAATTTGTAATAAAATGATAATTACTACATGATATTTAATTTTAATATTAGTTGGTAATGGATCCTAGGGCGTTTTTGTGACGATTACAACGACGGCGTGAGCGTCCTTGATATTTAAAGCGATACGACGTGTTTATAATTAGACAATCTGGGAAGTTGCTCTTCGAAGAAATAAAGTTTCTACGGACAATGTACGGGCGGCGGCGCCCGGCATTTGCATAATAAATAGGGACGGTGAAAAAGGAAACGAGATCGTGCATCTGGGGCGAGATGTACACGATCCGCGATAAATAACTGGAACGGGCATGGGAAAAAGGTTACGATTTCTCAGTCGGCGTTTGCTCGAGCAACTCCCCAAGGTAATTCAGACATTATTCAGTCGTCGCCGTCGCCGTCGCGCAGTGGCGAACGCGCCCTTCCTGCTGAGGAACCACGGGCACTTATCCGCCGTTGATCTGTTCATTTACATTGGAGATAAATTACGGCGTTTGCGGTGGATTTGCATGTGCGCGACACGGCCAAATTTGCATATGTGCAACACCCCTTTTGATAAAGGTCTGTTTTACGTCCGAGAAAAATACCGTCCTTTCCAGATCTGGACAGAGACTCTTTTATGACCCAGTGACACGATTCGACGAGGCCCGGAGGAAGATTTAATTATGCAAATGTGCTGTTTGTGATTCCGCAGGGGAATATTGTTGGAAAGCAACCGTATGGTAAACAGGGGAAGACGCCGTATCACGTTTACGGACCTCTTTCGCCGCAAAACGAACGCCGTTGATTGAGCACGGCCCGCCATATAAGTGGCCACGTCTTGGTATCATTTCACGTTTTATTCAAATCATCGTGGCCTTTCCTGCTAAGCAGGAAGGATTCTGACCCGCAACGCCGCTGGCCACCAACGGAGACTTCGTACTTCTTCTTTGATAACAACAATAATTTAATACTTCATTTAAACTTTACCTTTCTAGGAAGATTTGATCGCAGAAAATGTTTGCGGAAATCAGCTTTTAGGGCGTGATATGACTGACAGAACTTTCTAAATACCGATCTTCCGTATTTGGTCACTTTACTTTGTCGATATAAAGAGGTTCCGTGCTAAGCATACAAATTTGAACTAATTTTATGTTGATTGCAAACAGACTTTATCACCTCACTACTCTATTATGACGGGTCGGTAAACAAAACAAAGAAAACCGAGTGGTAAATTAGCTGTTGGATATCGTCTATCAAATCCAGGACAATGATAATCGACAAACACGCCGCTAACCGTCGAGTTGGGCGTATAACAGACTGCATACATGCAAAATTGCTTCGCTCGTACGCTCATGTAAATTCACGCTCATAATGTAATAATTTATCACCTATGCAAATTAGCTGATCAACAGGCGATAAGGGCTTAGGACTTCCTCCGAATACAATTCTAAAGTACGGGCCTGAATCGTGATTAATTTCTAGTAATAGAATCATATTAACGCTCCACTTTATGTACATGTTTATAGTTAACCACATCACGTTCCAATTATCATTTAATCGCGAGAGATACAGCGTAAATTAAATGAAAAAAAAAGTTGTATTGAAAACCAGACTTTAAGAGAAAAAGAACCGCTTTAATTTAAATGAGGCTGACAATAAATCACAAGAACACATACGTGCATACGTAATTACAGCAATAAATTCACTTGGTACTGCACATGCAACTCCTTCCAATCCCACAATCACTCGACTAAGCAGAGAATCTTACACTAGAAAAAACTTAATTACCTTCGATATCCAATCGAATCGTTACTCGAAAAATATCCCATCTTATCTAAAGCATTTAAATCACTAGTGATGGTCATTATTTTATTCGTATTATTTTCCCTGGTCTCACTTAGCACCTCAAAGGTGGTCACGGTACTGAATTCTAACGAAATATCTAACTGTTAAAATAATCTGCAGGCAGTGGGCCAATGATTTCGTTAAGTTTAGAAAATGCGATGTGTAATGCGGCAGTATTGCAAGCAACTTCTAAAAATAGATACTAAGATTAACGAGGCATGGTGTTGCTTATTGTGTTACTACTCAAACCGGAGCTTTAGAAATTTTGAAAATAACCCCAGCGAATGACACGTTTATGAGATATCTAAAATTAGAATTAATAAATACACCTAAAGAAAATTTAGATAATTTAATGGCCACTTTAGTAAATCTTACGCAATAAGTTTTTATGAAGTTGTTTAAGGAAACGGTGTAGGATGACACAATGAGTCAAGAAATGTGTTAATGTGAGATCAAGGTCATTAATTTTAAATCATTTATGAATCTAGAGTTATTAAAAATCCACTCAAAAATAACAATCCTCTCAAAACATGTTCGATACAAATTAAAAAAAAATAATTATCAAACACTTAACGTAAAGTACCGTTGATAAAACGAAACGTAAAGAGAATTCGACCACTTAACCAGTAGTCAGTGACCGTCAAGATGTCAAAGTACTTTATACTGTTATTTTTTCTGGTAGCTGTTTCTTCCCAAACAGGTTTCGTTTTTTTAATTATATCTTTCCCCAATTTACGACCGACTTCTTTATTATAGTTAATTATCGGCGAGAACTCCGAAATGTTTTGGCGAATCATGCAAAATCGGGATTTAAATCGGCCGAATTTTCCCCTTTCTTAAAACAATACGACTTAAATCATGCTTTTCGACAACTCCCTTATGAAAAAGCGGATCAAGAATTATGTGACACCTGCGTGGAAGTTGTTGACGTGGCAATTTCAGAACTTAACAACGGAGCTAATCCCGAAGATATCGTCCAAATGATAATCCAGCTTTGCGTGATGATGAACATTGAATCCGAGCCGGTTTGTGAAGGTGCAATTAGGTTAAATGCTGTAAGTTTTAGTTAAACAAGAAATTTTTGTGTTATTTATTTTCGTTGTAGGAACCAGTAATGTATATTGCTAAAAATAAACCTGAACTTAATGGCAATCAAGTATGCGGAATTGTTCTTGGGTGTCCCGGTGCTGATTTCGAAGAGTGGGATATTAAAATTCCCGGTGGTAATCCAGAAGAAATAGAAAAGGGCCAACAAAGTGATGCCACTCCAATTAAAGTTTTACAAGTTACCGATACGCATTATGATCCCAGATACACCCCGGGTTCTTTAGGGAATTGCGATGAACCTCTTTGTTGCCAAAGAGGATCATCAGCTGATAGTGTTGGGGACGAAGCTGGATATTGGGGCGATTATAGGGATTGTGATACACCAAGACATGTTATTTTAAACGCGTACGAACATGTTAATAAAGAACATAACATCGATTACATTTATTTCACCGGCGATATTATCCGCCATTTAGTTTGGGCTACATCAATTGCTAATAACACTGATGATATGGTGACGATTTTTGAAGATTTCGAAGCTTATTTCCCAAATACTCCTTTATATCCTAGCATGGGAAATCATGAAGGACAACCAGTTAATCAGTAAGAATATTATTTAATAAAATAATAACCATAACAAACAAATTTATAGATTCGCCCCACCATCAGTGACAGATGAGAGTGTATCATCTCAATGGCTCTATGATAAATGCGCCGAACTTTGGGCGAAATGGTTACCTGAAGATGCAAAAACCACCATAAAAGAAGGCGGTTATTACTCAGCGTTAGTTAAACCTGGGTTTAGAGTGGTTTCGTTTAATAGCAATATTTATCAAACATTAAATTGGTATAAAAAAAATTCTAAATACAAAACGTAATCTAATCAAAAATTTTAGGTGGTTATTGTATGATAACGAAATGCAAATTAAACAGTTACAATGGCTTGTTGATACTTTATACCAAGCGGAACAAAACGGCGAATTCGTTCATATCTTATCGCACATGCCATCAGCTTATGGATATTTAACTTTTAGCAGATTGTGGAGAAGGATTTTAGAAAGATTTTCAAACACAATCACCGCTGAATTTAACGGTGATAGTCACAATGACGGATATGTTATTTTCCATCATGCAAATGAACCGAAAAAACCCATCGCAATTGCATGGAATGGTGGTAGTTTAACTACTTATTCAGACCATAATTATAATTATAAAGTTTATACAGTTGATGGAGAAAATTTTGTATGTTATTTTCGTTTTCTTTTAAGTATTTTTTAATTTTTTAATTTATAGGAAGTACTCGATGCAGAATCATGGACTTTCAATTTAACCGAAGCTAACTTAACACCAACCCAACAACCAAATTGGTTTAAGTTATACTCATTTAAAGACGTTTTTGAAATGAATGATTTATCCCCTAAATCTATGCGAGAATTATTAATTCGCATGACTACAAATCATCATCTCTTACAACTTGATTATAAGTATACACTTTAATTAATTTTTATTTAATTCTTATTATTATATTAAAAAAATTTTTAGTCATCGTTATCGTCAAGCTGATAGCAGAGGAAGTTGTAACGAATCCTGTATGAAAGGTAACCTATGCGGAATGGTAAGAACTGAAGATGGAGATAACACGGTTTGCGACGAATTAATGTCAATGTGGTCATAAACCTTCACCTGACCGCCACCAAATCAACACTTTAAATAAATGTTTGCTCAGTATGACTCATAATTTGCTTTCTACAACTTTCAATTGCACCTATTTGATCCGTTTCCATTCCCAACGTTGAAACGAAAAATTAAACTGAAAAACAAATCGAGACTAAAGAATAGAAAATAACTAATTGCCCGTAACGTATCACTTCGAAGCGAAAAACGTTGTTATTGATCGTGAACTTGGCAGTTCCCGAGGCGATAAGTAGATCATTTAAAAATGGAGTAAAATGGTAATTAGAAGGTTACAATACGCTTTCACTGTATTAATTGGTAAGAAGAGCGCGTGAGAAATTGTAGATCACTTAATAATGAAGGTGTTTAGATTTTGAATTCTTTAACGAGATAATAAAAATGATGTACAAAAAAAAATTTAAATGAAATTCTAAATATTTTAATATAACATATTTCACGATAACATCAATTACCTCAATTAATGTCTGACCCAGAATGGGCGGCTGAAATACACAACTCACCAACCCGTCTAGTAAACGTGATGTTTGAAGGTTAAAATCTGATAAAACTGAAGATGTCAGATAGAAAAATACAATGCTAAAAGATATACTGCGTGATCTTCACCGAGTATGTGCCAGTGTTGGGTTTAAAGTCAATAGAACCAAAACAAAAATACATAAGGTACTTAGTTTCTAGTGAAATCATTAATTTTGAAGATAATGAGGTAGAACTTGTTGAGAGGTACACATGCCTTGGGCACTAAATAAAGATTTCGAGAGAAAATCATGCGAATTGGAGAGAAGACTAAATCTTGCAACATTAGAACAATTTGTAATACCAGTTATGATGTACAGAATTGAAAAGTTGACCCTGACCACAACTACCGTTAAACCTTCAAATTGTACAGAGAAAAATGGAGCGGTCAGTTTTGCTTCGTGCATGAGTAACTAATGAGGATTTAAGAAGAAGGACGGGAGTTACTGATAGTATTATCGGAATTGCAGAACTCAAATGGAATTGGGCAGGACACGAGGAATGTTTGAATGATAGAAGATGGACATTGAGACTGTTGTAGTGAACATAGAGAAGACTATAATGATTATAGTAAAAGAATAAATTGTGTACAGAGCGCGCAGGATAAAGAAAACTGGATACAAATCCTAGGTCTTTCTCCGATGTTCAGCAATGGGCACTAAGAACTAGAGAATAATGATCATGTCATTTCATCATCATTTCAACCGTGGCAAAAAAAGTGGTTTGGGTTGCTACCGAATCTCCTTTGATAGCATTCCAATTCGCTTCATTGGACCATAACCAGCAAGCATCTTCCTATTATTCTTCCTAAATTGAGTCTTTTAGAGTTTTTCACTTCACTTCGCAGAAGTGTCATCTTACCTCATTTAGATCCGGCATAAATCCAAGCTTAAGATAAATACAAGTTATATTTGGAGTTAGTATGGTGCCGGGATTTGCTTTATTCACCAGAACTGCGTGTCACGACAAGTCGATTCTTTTCGGTGTTGCCAGTTTTTTTTGTGGTACAACATGATGTTGCTTGACCTGGCGAGGTGTATGACGTAGACTAGGGCAAGTTACAAGATGTCATCTACGAATCCAGTTAATTGTTACACCCTCCTACATTTATTTCTTGCAAGTTACATCCAGTTTATGCAAACTTATCAAAAGAAATGCTGGTATTGGGGAGCTGTTAGAGCCCTTGACTTGTATTGAATTTTCATTACTCTGGAATTGGACGGGATGTGCCTGCGATATGTGCATCAATAAATATAAGCTACCTCGGTGCCGTTGGGCAGAGTCTTAGTTAATAAACTAGATTGAATAAGATTGAGTGGTAGTAACCAAATAATGCTTATCGACCGGGCCTTTTAATGAAACTCTTCTATGGCTAATATCGCTAACAGCCGTCTGAAGGATAAATGGCATGCTGATATTGAAACACTGAAGTTGTAGGGTTTGATCATTATATCATTATGATCATTGCGATAAAAATGGCTTCCTTTGCCGTGACTAGCTGAATGTATGTTCTTCGTGAGGAGGTTTATTAAGGAATGGGATCAAGATTTCGTCAAATTAACCAATGGTAGAGGAGATCGAAGAATCAGTTCTGTTACATATTTTGATATTCGGGTAGATAAAGCTAACCAGGCAGGATTTCCTGGATCATCATGTTCTTGAAGATTTTTAACCTGAATGGCATCACTCGGCACTAATATACTCCGCCAATTTTTGTCAACGTGCACTTTTGATACTTTCCACAATGACATCGATGTATCGATGTTCCGATTTAAAATATAGCGAGAAGCAAGAAAGGGAACTCATTTTTGGTATTAATGAAACTGTTAACACTTGGTGCATAATGAATACTCGCATCATACTTGTATATTAGCCTTTCAGAATAGGTATGAGAATTGTTAACCAAACTGATAGTAGGAGATTGCAGGTTGTAAATGTGTATTGACTTTATTAGCTTGATTAAAGCAAAGTACGAAGTTGACAGAAAAGCTCATTGGCAAATCACTCGGTAACCAGTAACCTCAATTTTCATCACAACCTAACTATTCAAGTTTCAATGAGTTTCTTTTTGTTACTTGACTCTTAATAATACTTTTAATAGATGTTAGCTTTTCTATAACTAAGTCCATATTATTTCAATCATATTCAAAGACTTTAAAACTTTTACACTACATTAAAGAAGTAAACAAAGATCTCGATTTATTGTTCAAAATCAAATGGTGGTTACTTCTAAGAGTGTCGGAACAATTCTGGCAACATTGTAAATATAATATAATACTTAGTATAAAATAATCATCAAGGAATCAGCAATGTGAAAACCACAATCAGTATTATTGTGCGACCAATTACAAAATATGTTCAAGAAATTTACTTTATTTTATTGATGAAAACGGTAACATGGGAAAATGGAATAAACCATTAATAACCACAACGCGACGTCAACTACAATGAGGTATGATGTAATAACGTAATGATGCAATAAATTGTTTTGTAAGTAAATGGATTTAAGTAAGTTTTAATTACTTGAAAAAACATTGCGCGTTAATCTTTAACCTCGTGGTCAAATAAATGTTTTCTCTTACATGATTATTGATAAATGTACTTACTTTGATTGGAACCCTTCGAATTCTTCTTGTTGTTCGCTTATTGAAGCTTCCAAGTCTAAATAGGAACCGTAATCGCCGTCTTTGTATAGTTGTAAAGCAGCATCATCCAGCTAAAAAATAAAATAAAATAAAATATATTATTGTGAAAATAATAAAGATTCGAGATAAATTAAGATGGATTAAAACAAATTTTAGAGATGATCTAAAATTTATCGTTGTTATCAGCTTAGCTTATAAGAATTATGAATCACTGTCTCCAAAGCCTTTAAGATTATATTGGAAATTATTTATAAATAAATGTTCTAATTATAGAAAAATGTTGTGGTGGAATTTCCGGTAATAATTTTTTCTTTAATGATTTTATTATATATATAGGAATCAGAAATAAAACCAGTTTTGTATATTTATATATCATTGAAAAGGTAAACGAACTAAAGAACATTCCCAGAAGAGGCTCGGTCTATTATGACTGGACGAAACGCATAGCGTTCACAAGGTTCAGACGTTTGCATACCAATAAAGATCAGCACCGGCGCCAGCTTAAGCTCGGTACTCCTTTTCTCAATTCCCTCTCCATTGTCTCACCCACCACAACGACGACCTCAACCATAGAGGTAGGTACTACATTGGTGGGACAACGCGATAAAATAGCCGCGTTTTTCCACGAAACCGTTATAAATAAAAGTGTATCTCCGTTTGTAATCTTACGGCGGGAGGACCAAGTTCCGCGTTGTAAATTGCGCCTTGGCATAACGCGCCTTAATATTAGATGAAACTAATGGCGAAATTATACGTTTATACGCATGCGGTAAATTGTTCGCTATTAAATTTTATTAATTTTGAATAAACCCGCGTTCAACGTATAATAATATTAACTTATACCTAAACGTTACGTTATATAACGGGAATGTTTAAAAGAACTCTTAAAGAAAAAAAACGATTAACAATTATAATAGAAAATTAAATATCTAACACCAGTTCCGTATCATTAAGCAAGCCAGAAAAGGCGTTGCCACCCGTGTGTATTAGCTTGGGTAATTATCTGATGGTTTAGAAGAAGTGGGTTCATTTAGGATAATCTATCATACCGAACTCAAACACGCCCCTTAACTAAAAAAAAAAGGATAACCTTCAATCCAACACGAACAATAAGCAAATTAATGACTACCGAGTGCCAGATGCTGTCACTTTTAATAATCGATTTTCAAATTGGATTTAACTGTTTCAAAAATTTCCATAATAAACTTGTTACATCACGGATTCAATTGAAAGTCGCCGTTGATCGAGGTGTCAAAGGAACGACTTTAAAGCCCTAAAGCGAAATCGTACGAATTTATAAGGGGAAAACACTCCATTAACCTCAACGGTTTATAACATGATTTATGCCATGCAGTAAAATCCGCACGATATGCTAAACAAAAGACAGCATGCAGTCCTTTCTCAACGTGTAATTGGTGCTGCGAGGACGTTTTTCTTTACTAGAGTAACCGGGCATATTAACGACCTTGTTGACCCACCGATGATCATAAACTTTTGCAGTGAAAATATCTTATTCAGTAAATTGTAGATCTTTATGGTGTAATAAAGTGTATTGAAGCAACATTTTCTTCTACAAGAAATGATGTTGGAGTTGAGGCTTGAAGGTATTTGATTATTATTATTATTTGATTAACATCTTTTTTTTAGATCATAAAATGATTTTCATAAAGATTTAATTTTTATTTTTGCCAAGGACAAACAAAATACAAAGTGTAAAGTTTAGTGAAGTCATAAAATGTTGCAGTAAAATAAATTGTTGTTTTAATGGTGTAATAAAAGATTAACACATTTTATTTATCTTTACAGAAATAGATTTTAAAATTAGTAATAATAATATTCCGGCGCCTCCACCATTTTATTTAATTAATTATTTTTATTTAATTTCAAAATTGAATCTTAATTTGTAGTGATTTAAAGTGATTAATTGTCTTTGTTAATGATTGCGCGAAGGCATTGTAAAGTAACCGTTAATGGTTCGCGGTGCTTTCATTAGCTTTTTAAGTCGTATTTACGTCTTAAGTGGCAAGACCGGCTTCCGGCAATCGTACCAACCGTACATAAAGACCACTGGCAGCGTTTGTCGAATGGTACCCGGCATTTACTTTTATAATTAGATTTACGATCCTAATTAGATTAGTTGCGGTTTGCGTCTGTTAACATAAGCAAACGATTACTCGGACGTTTTACAACGATCGGTTAATAGTTATTTCTTCCGACACGGTGTGCACGAAAAACGCCTCTCGGCGACGTCGTCATCATTCTCTGTTCCTAGAATATACACCACGATGGTGGAGTGGAGTCTTTTCTTTCGTCCACATTGAGGAATGAAAATAAATCACGCGGTTTCTTCCACACTAAAAAAAAGATAGAAAGGAAACTGGATCGAAGCCGCGCGGTGATTTGTGATTTCTTTTGAATAGAAACGAGAAAAATCACAAAAAATCTTAAGGTCACGATGTAGAACGATCAAGGACTCCATTCTTAATGAAATTGAATTATAAAATTAAGTTGTAAACTTTATTATTAATAAACTTTATGAAAAGAAATGAAGATGAGAAATCAAAACGAGTTGTAATGATAAATTTATCGTAATGTACCGGATGGTACGGTAAATAAGGTCCGCAAAACGGTAATTTAGGACCTTAAGCAGTCATGCCCCGCTTACGAATTGATTAAAATCTGCTCTGGTCCAAATTATACATCATTTAAATCTTAATGATACGCAGTGCGGACCAAGTTGAATATGGTCCAAGCGTAACATCGCGATTCGAGGCCGTCTGCACAATTACTGGTACCATCCCTATCTATTTTGGCGTCACTACTAATGGAAAGGAAAAACAAACGTTTGAACGCTATAATGAGCCATTCAGAACATCACTTAACCGAGTACGTAAGCAGACTAAATTATGCAATTATTAGCTATCAGATGGTAATTTCAGAGAGGGAAAGGTTTTACATGAGTTTTCGATTAAGGTCACTATGTACACTTTATTTTAAATTTGATACTTTGTACTCTTTCTCTATAAAAAGGCTCCGAGTAAAAAAAATTAAATTTTATTCCCTTACGCAACAAGAATTCCTATGTCTCTTTAACTCGGCGTCAAACGTAAGCGATTGTCATCTGTGTGGTTGACCACCTACTTTCCATTTCTGAGAAAAGCTTTCTTTGCCGTCAAGTTACATAAGTAAGTTTGATGATTTTCAAAATACGATAGAGTACCGATTTACCATGGTAATCTCTCCTTAATTATCTTTTCTTTAATATTCGTTGTTAAAGCGCGAATTAAAATATACAATAAAATTTAAAGGTTTCAGCACCTCCCACTGCTTCTTTACCGCTGACTCTAGATTATATTATTGCTTCTGAGGTGTCATCTTTTAAGCACTATCAAGATTTATTGATATAAAGACTTATAGTCGTTGGAGTCAACACAAAAAAGTTCCTATCAGTTTATTCTTTGGGGGGATTTCAATACAAAATGCATCGACTGGGGTTTCAGAGTGACTACAACAAAACGTCGTGAAAGCAGCAATTGAAGAATGGATTTACAAAAATTGTTGGACTTCTTTATCAGCAAAAAATTTTAACAAATTTCGTGGATGTAATTCGCGGTTTTAACACTAAGCGAAAGTGTGATTTGCAGGGAAATAAAAACTGTATTAGTGAAACTGTGAAATAAGCGAATTGGAAAAGCTTCAAACCCGAATAATGATAAGGCATCGTGTTAACGCTATGTAACGCGGCAATCAGTCTCGGACACGTGCTAGATTGAGTAAGCCGTGTACTTAATGATATAAAGTCGTACAGACCAATATCATTGCCTCGTATCATTTCGAAAAGCTTCTGTTAACGACTACCAGTTTAGATTTCACTGTCAATATTCACAGTACAACACGCAACTAATAAGCTACAGGAAGCTAGTGACATAGTCCCACTGGAAAATCGTACTCAATGAGCTAAAGTCTTCACGTATTGCAAAATGGACAAAACACCCTAATTCACATATATGGCGTTGTAGTCCCATATGTTATGAATGCGACAACTGTATTGGCTCCTAAGGCTTCAAGATGTCCACTTAAAATAAATTAATTATGTGTAACCAGATTCTTTAACCGATCTGAGTATATGGTATTCAACTGTGGGGATGCGCAAGCGATAGCAATGTCAAGACTATCCAGACGTGGAACAATAATGTGCTGCGGATGATCGTAGATAGCACCACAGACTGTTATTGGTCCCTGACCTCTCTCAATTTTTGTCTCCAAGCTTTTCTGCCCATGGCTTCAGTTTTGTTCTTATTCGCAGTCACATCATTCACTTCCGTTACTGCATTACAGGTGCCTAGGTTTTTTGCAGATCATTCATATTTGCAGCAAATATCAAAACTTCATCTGCGAACACTCATACAACATAAAAATTATGAGATGTAAATTGATGGTTGATCTTGGCATAACCAGTTTGAATGTATCACACCATACTGATGCCATTAAAAAAAACTTTTACGTCATCGTTAATATAATCCTGAAATAAACTCGATTTAGGCATTAATTTAGTTACACTATCAACTAGATCATAATCGGTCATGTATTCATAGACCAAGACGTTCGAGTCAATATTTAGCAACTCCAAAATATTTTCTTCATTCAGATTAACAAAAATGAACATCTCTTAACGGCTGGAACACATCTAAAATTGATAGTGATGAGCTATCAATTTCATGTTCTTCAGATGATTACATGACATATGATATGTTATATAACGCATCTCGAAGCGTAATTGCATTCCAAAAACTGAAAACTGTAACGGATCCATCATTTAATATTTTCTGTTCAACTTCGTTGCTTCATTTTCACCCTGATTCATGGATTGATACAGAGTGGTGATATCTGGTTGAAGATATAAAACAGTTATGTTCCCATTTTCAGCTGACAACGGTTTACTTGGCGGATGAGATGGCGCATTATCAAGAAGCAATACATAATATTCGAATCTGAGTTTTTTTGTGTCTCTTAAAGCTTTAGGCAACTTTGATTTTCCTTCTACAGCTAATTTTAATTTACCTTCTTTAGC